ACTCCATCTCTATACTGAGCAAATCATCAGAGAAGCTGGACTATGTGAAGAATGGGTCATCTGGATTGGAGGAAGGCTTATTAACACTGATATGAAGATGATACCATGTTGTTTGCTGTAAGTGAGGAGGACTGAAGCACTTGCTGATGAAGATCAAGGACTATAACCTTCAATATGGATTAAAATTCAAAATAAAGTCAAATTCCTCATAACTGGAACAATAGTAACATCATGAGAAACAGAAAAAAGACTGAAATTGTGAAGGATTTCATCTTGCTTTGATCCACAATCAATGTTCATAGCAGTATTCAGATCAAATGACTCATTGCATTGAGTAAGTCTGCCGCACAAGACCACTTTAAAATATTGAAAAGCAAGGGTGTTACTTTGAGGACTAAGATTCATCTGACCGAAAACATGGTATGTTAATTACCTCACATACATGTTAAAGTTGAACCTTCAATAAAGAAGACTGAAGAAGAATGGATGAATTTGAATTATGGTGGTTGTGAAGGTTATTGAAAGTATCAAGAACTTTCAAAAGAACAAACAAATTAATCTTGTAAGAAGTGTAGCCAGGGGGCCAATACTGGAGACACAGTGTGGGAATTGCACTAAATTTGATCCCACCACACCAAGGCAAAACACTTAAGGGCATGCAACAGAACAGAAAGGGGAACAGCAATGAAGTCCCCAAGGAACACCAACAATAATAGACTTTGGGGCCAGGGTGTGGCACCCTATCAGACTTGACCAGAAAACACTCCTAAAGCCCAACAAACAGTCCTTGAACTAACTACAGGCTTTTCTTTTTTTGTTGTGGGTTTTTTTGACATTGACTTTTTGTTGTTTTGTTTTCTTTTGTTGCTTTGTTTTGCTCTGTCTTGTTTTTGTGCGTGTTATTATCTCCACAGGTCTGTCTAAATAAGATAGGCTGGAAGAACAATCTGGAGGAGAAAACAATGGACCGACAGTTCCGGGGGACATGGGAGAGGGGGAGGTGGGGGGAAAGGAAGTGGTGTTAACAAACTCAGGGACAAGGGAACAACCAGTGATCCAAATCGGTGGTGAGGAGGGTTTAGGGAGCATGGTAGGGCGTGGTCAAGGGTACTGTAACCGAGAGGAATTATTGAAACTCAAATGAAGGCTGAGCATGATAGTGGGACAAGAGGAAAGTAAAAGGAAATAGAGGAAAGAACTAGGAGGCAAAGGGCA